AAATGACAATGAGAGAAAGATGTTGTACAATGTGTACTGAGAGAAAGACAGTTGCAAAGAAAGTAGTCAAAGAAAGCAGTGAATGGTTAAGATTAAAGGAGGCTGAGAAAATGTTGAATAAAAGGAGTTCTGAAGTGGATGAAGAAGTCCAAAACTAGAGCTTCCTGCAAAGTGAACAGAAATAAAAACAGAACTGATGAAATGATTCCAAATGAAGCTTAAGTGACGAAATGCCAGAAGCATTTTAGAGTGTTATTTGGGAATCAGTGACATATCAAAGAATGAAGTTGAAAAGTTTAATGCCTTTCACTAAATGCATTTATTTAATGCATTTATGAATAAATGTGTAAGGAAAGCTGGTGGTGATGATGTAGTTATGAACATATGCATGTTTTGGCATACAGACAATCCTACATTGTTGAATGAGAAGCCAATGATTTGCAATGAATGTTGGCTCAGTAAAGTAATATCCGAACAATGGATGTGCATCAACACCAATGCAATTGTATTTGACAGAGGAAATAGAACTGTCAGTAATAACAACACGAAAAACCTAAAGCAAAGCAATTAATCTGTGTATCTTAGTACATTTTAAGATGAGAAAATGCTTTTGGAAAAGTAATGAATATTGTCATCTACAGAATATTTGTTGAAATAATTTTAAAACATTATACTGTATGATCATGCTTGTGTTCACACTGTTGTGTGAAGAGCTGAATATGTCCAGAGAAAAGTAAGTAAGCTGAATGCAATCGGAATGGGACACTTAAAAGAAATTACCTGAATGTGGCCAGACAAGAATTAAGTGTCAAGAATGTATCCTGAATGAATGATTAAAGGGAGTGAATAGTATGAAAGAAACAGAGGTAGTTTAGTCAGACAGAATAAATGTGGAATAAATTGCACAACACATAAATGAAGAAAAAGTGAATAGTTAAGAAAACAAGAAAATTGTGGATGAAGTTGATAAGAGCCTCAAAATTACAAAAGATACACACACACAAAGAATTTAAGGCAATGTATGAAGAGTATATGGTTGAGGTAGAAGCAAGGGTGATTTTGAATAAATAGAAATGTATGAAGAAATAAAGTGACTGTGGCTACTAAAATTTTTCTCCTCCCTCCCACCCATCCCTTATCTCATTTATCTTAATTCATTTGGTTTCCTGTTTTGTAGCACTTTGCAAAGCTTCATAGATTCAATCTGAAGGTTCAATCAAAATCTAAGCAGGCTTTCAGACTGAATGGAGATTTGCTCCAATGCTCCAATGCTCAAAATTGTATCAGGAAGCTACAAAGCACTTCACAGATTTACAAACCTCAGATTTCAGGCTTTTTTTTCCTGTTTCTGATTTTTTACAGGCTTTACACAATATTTAAAGTTCACTTCCACAGATGGAAAACACTGGAGGAACATGAGGAGTGCTGTCAACAGCTCTTTGACATGAGTAGTAACCTAATATATTTAATCATCCAATTAAACTCACTGCCTATTAAAACTCTTTTAGAACCTGGGAAGAGTGACATTACTCAAGCTTCATTCATTTATTCAGTTTTCTGTTTTTTAAGGTAGCCAACTAGACACTGGGACTTTACTCGCTCTTATGCTAATTCAATTTTACATTTCTAGGCTGGTTCAGCCAACACAATAGAAGCTCAACCTGTATGTTGGACTACAGGTTCAAAACTAAACATTCCAATACATATTCTTGGCTCAAACCAGTAAGATCTCTTGGAGAATAAGTCTTAATTTTAAATTCTGCATATAGGTAGTCCTTGACTTAAAACCTTAGTGGAGCTTGCCAATTAAGTCATGATGGTCATAAAGAGGGTCACCCACCTGACCAGCCCAATTTTACAACCTTTTGTGGTGATTGTTAAGGGAATGCCATAACCAGAAATGCTGGTTTTTGGCAAAAACATAAAATGAGTTTGAAGGATGTTGCAAACAGCCATAAATGCAGGCAGGTTGTCAAGGCCCCGAAATGTATTCATGTGACTGGGGGGAGGGCAGATGTCGAAACATCGGAACTTGGACATAACTAGGGAAGCCCACCATAACTTCAAACAGTCACTGTAACAGGTTGTAAGTTGAGGACTACCTACTGCTCTGGCAGGTTTAAGTCTCCCCTAAGAGTGAATAGGTATCAAATAAACACATGCAGAGCTGGCCCAAATGGAGAGCTGATAAGACTGAAAACATTTATATTTCCGTTGCAGTATGAACCTCGGACTTTCTAAGACTCTTATGTCAGGACGTTCAATCTGTCATGGTTAAGAAGGTGTATGTGTTCATTTAATTCAGTGGTGGGATTATTTAACAACCGGTTCACTCAGGGTCAAGTTGGCTGTCATTGGAGGTGTGGCCCATCCTCCAGCTCTTCCGCACATGTGGGATAAGCCTCCCGCGATGGCCAGCATAACCCTGGACAAACCCCAGGTTAAATTACCCCAGGCTACTAAAGTGGATCCTGGGTTGTTGGGATAAACGGGAAATGGAGTGGCCGGCACAAGGGAAGGAGGAGGAGCAGAAAGAAGAGGGAAAGTGGTGTTTTCCTTCACTTGCGCCAGTCACTCCATTGCCTGTTTCTCCACTGCAGTGCAGCACCCAAGATCTACTTTGATGCTGGTAATTTAACAACTGGTTTGCTTGAACCAGTGCAAGCCAGCTGAATCCCACCACTGTTTTAATTCCTTTCCTCCAGTTTTAGTGACTCTTGTACAATGGACAAATGGTCCCACTTCTATGGATTTAATGATCAACAGTGAAAAATAGGGAATTAAATAATTAATTCCTTTGACAATTTTCAAACAAAGTGACTTGTTCTAGACCAGACTTCCTCAACCTTTCTGGGTTGGTGGCCTGGAGCGGTGGGGGAGTGGGGAAAGAGGGGATGGTTTTGTGGGAGAGGCAGCTGCATGCTCTTGTGCCAACACCCATTGCTCGCATGAGTGGGGCTGCAAATGCTCACACGGGTGGCCCATGAGCATGTGTGATGGTGATGCAAGTGGGGCCACAAGCATCTGTGATGCTTGCACAAGTGAAGCGCCAGTGCCTGCGACACTCATGCAAGTGAGGCACCAAGTGCCTGCGATGTTCGTGCAAGTGGGGCAGTGAGCCCTCGAATGAGTGGGGCTGTGTGTGCATATGCATACTTGTGCACCAGCCAGCCTGTTGTGGCCTGCGGACAGCTGGCCCCTCCAGCAGCCGAATCAGATGAGGAGGAGGTGTCGGAGTCAGTGTCAGCATCAAGGCAATCTGAGACTCCGAGGGGGAAGAGGGAATGGAGCTGTCAGAGAGAGAGAGAGACAGAGGCAGAGCCTGGACCGTCCCTCAGCCCTCAGATGGAGCGTCAACAGCCCCCCATGTTTGGAGGTGGCTGATGAGGAAGAGGATGAAAAAATGGGTCCAGTGTTTGATGCGCAGATGGAAGAGGAGAGCAGTGGAAATCTGTGGGCTGATCTTTGGGACAGAAGAGCCACCACTGCTGGCAAAGCCCCACCCTAGCTCTGGAGGTAGGGGACCGAGGCGAAAAGATGTGGCAGGAAATTATTCATCTCCCTACCAGACAGATTTGTTAGCCTGTGGTGAGAGAGAAACTTTTTGCCAGGGCTGCTGACGTTCCTAATAAAGAAATAATTGATTTAACTTCAGAGGGTTTGTCATGTTTGGAAGCTGGGTCAGAACACAGCCATTCATGCTGCAGTTAGGCCGCGGGCTGGTAGAGTGCTGCGGCTCACAGGTTGGGGACTCCTGCTCTAGACCAAAGGGAAAATGTCATATTTTCACCAAGTTATTTTTGGTGGCATTAATCTGAAAGTCAGCATCTCCTTGCCTAAGTCTTCACACTCTTCAATCTTTAAAAAAATGAACCCAAATCAAAATAAATACTAAACATTTAGATGAATGAGAGTCATGGGTTTAAAAAAATATTTATCAAAGAATAAGGAGAATAAGAACTGGAGCTTTCTAAATCTTTAACTGTGTCTCTTGAACTTATTATACAATTGTATCACAGCGGCCAGTTGTTTCNGTGGAGATTCGAACCCTCACCACCCTCCAGGCCTTCCGCAAAGCCGTTAAAACCTGGCTGTTCCTACAGGCCTGGGGCTAAAGAGCTGCTGCCCCCGTTTCGAATGGTATGACTGTTGTGTGTTTTTAAATTATGCATTGTTATGTTTTGTTTTTTATTTCTTGTCTGTACCCCCCCCCTCCCCTGATTTGATTTGATTTGTTAGCCGCCCTGAGTCCCCTTCGGGGGAAAAGGGCGGCATATAAATATAATAAAATGAAAAAATGAAATGAAATGAATCCTTAGCTTCCTTTCTGAACCTAGTAATAGGCATTGCTACCCTCTGAAATGTCATTTAATTATTCTACCGTGAACCAATGCCAAGGAAAGCACACCCTTATGTATTAAAAATAAACATGGATTTTTGTGTTATCAATAGAGCCACAAACAAGATAAACGCACACTAAAATAGGAAGTGGAAAAAAGGGAAATCTGGCAGTGGCAGAAGCAGTCAAGAATGAAATATTATCAATCTGAGCTGCAATAATTGGATTGATTTATACATAAGGAAAATGTGTACTAGCTTAAAGTGGCCCTGTTTCCATTGAAACACTGGGGAAGGGAAGCAGAATAGTGAAACGACCTAAATTTATTAGTCTGAGGCTTACAATCGTTGGCCTGTTTGAGACTAAAGTAATCCCCACCCTTCAGATGACAGTCATGTCATCTGAACAGATGAGCTGCTTTATGTGGCAGACACAAAGTCCTGGAGTGGCATCACAAAAGGGTAATATCTGGAGTTACTACAGTTTTTTAGATACCCCCAGATGAGTTTGGGAAGAAAGGAATTGAAAGGAGGGGGGACAAAATATGGAATGGATATGCTACTTTGGCCCTCAACCAATCAATTCTAGCAGAGTAGGAAAAACAAGGGACAAAGTGAGAAGGAAAATGCTCACATTTGAGCATCCTTTGGAAGCCCCTAACTATGCTCCACTGATGAATAAGATAAATAGGTGCAAAGAGGTCATATACAAACACTTACCATTTACTAGGGCTATATTAATGCCCCTCCCCACATTGTTTTTAACACCACTCATCAAGCTGAAACAAAAGAAATGAAGATAATTACAATAAACTTTTTGTCTTGTTAACCTCTGATTGCACACCTTGGGAGGGGCATGACTCTTGCCAACAAAAAAAACACGCACACACAAGAAATGTAGCCACCCTTCTTAGCTGTTCAGGCTTATTAAGTAAAATCGGCACAAAAATTGTCCCCTGTCTTTACCGCTGTCTTTTTAATTATCGCCAGGCAAGCTTGTAGCATATGAAGAACAGCAGAACAGATTAGCTTTCAGCTTGAATCAAGTCAGTTGAATTACACAATTAGGTCTACTCAGCTATGGAAAGCAAGAAATCATATCTACAGAATTAGACACGGGAGCGTTCCTAGCCCCTCTGATAGGAAACATCTTGAAATGTAGCAGCAAGTTTGCCACAAATGAGCTAATTGAACCCATGGTCCTTTGTTCCTAAGAAATTAGAACTGTTTTTACTGTTAGTTATATAATTCCTAACCGAACAAGCTGATTTGCAAGCTTTATGTCGGGCATTATCCCTGATTATAATTTATGTACAGAAAATAAAAGTATGAAGCGCAAAATATAGCAGTTGTTTAATATCAACAGTGAGCAACAAAAATTCTGATGTGATCTTGGGGGCTTTCCATAGGAGTTTATACTACTCTTTGACACTTTGTTGCCTTACTTCTGTGATGAATTACAATTCCCATTATTCCCAGTCACAATGGACATTATAATCCAGACCACAGGGAGAACACTTCATTGGAATGATCAGAATCTCACACACAATGTGAGCTCAGAGAAAAGCATTTGAACTAAGCATTTGCTTAGAAAATATGCATTTCCAATGGCATTGAAGTAATGTAGAGGATTTACCACAAGAGGGGGACAACACATCACATTTAGATTTCTTACTCAAATATGGAACAACTATTCCTGAGGAGTCAAAAGTAAAGTTTCGGGCAGTAAAATAGCATTCAATTATTTATCAGAAGAGATTTGGGGTAGTATTAATATTTCATACAATTCTGGTGGGGTATTTCTTTCACATAGAGAGAGGCGATTTCTCTAATTGTCAGCTTCCATGTGTATGGACTTCAACTCTCAGAATTCTCATCAGAGCTATGTTGGCTGTGGAATTCTGGGATCTGAAGTCCAAACATTGGTTAATGAGATCAGCTGAAGTAGGAGAAAAATGCCGTTTTTTTGTCTCAGATATTCTTCCACATACAGTATACTTGACTAGGATGGGTTCAAAAGAATTCCTAAGCTGTGAATTTGAGTCTACAGCAGAGGGAATTTCTACTTCAAATATCACTTTAAAAATCAAGATAAGCAGATTGTTTAAAGGCTGTTATCCTACACCTGCCTGCACCAGAGGTTTGAAATCACAAGCTTTACTTGATAACTAAGCTTACTGAATTGTGGGCCACAATGAAAGAACAACTTGGATCCTTTTCCTGATAAAGCAGGAGTTTGAGTGTAAATCGAAACAAAAATCAAAATGAAAGACTTCAATTAGATATGCAAGACAGATTTTTTGTGCCTATTTCTGAAAACCATTTTTATAGGCCAGGATACTGAAAAAGAAAAACTGCTAACCAAAGATCTTCAGAGGGAGAATAGAGAATCCTTAATTCTTAGTGAATTAAGTCTAGCCTTTCATGGCCAATTGCAAAAGGAGGGGTAAGGCCAGATGATGAAGAAGATATCTTGGGGGCATGCTGCCTTGGAAGCAAATATTCTAATTCTAATTGGGTTTGTTTGGGATATCTATTTATTTATTTTTTTAACTTTTGTATTATGTTGTTTTTTTTTAATGCTGTACGCTGCCCTGAGTCCTTGGGAGAAGGGCGGCATATAAATCCAATAAATCCAATCCAATCCAAATATTGAATATATATTTTAATTAGGTGAAGCCAATATATTTTGGATTTGGAGGGAAGTGATGAAAACTCTGCCCTTAGGGCATAATGCGAAAGACATTACTGTATTGTTAAAATTATTCTCATATTATCATCCATCATCTTGAATATTTATTGATATACAGCCATTTATTCAACATGATTGTTCTGAAAAATTGCAGAACATTCCCATTCAGAATGTTGATTCTGATAATCTGGATAATCTGTGAGTGGTTTGATAGTTTTCTAGAAACTTTCCTGAACAGAAAATTATTTGTGGTCTTTTAGATCTGACCTGATTCCCTTAAAACATGACCTCTGAAACAACATGACTTCTGAAAACATGAATTTTCAGAAAATTTACTTCTGGAAACTGCTAGATGACTCTGGAATGGCCATATCAATACGGGTTGAAAAGAGAACCAAAGGTTCTGTAGTTTTCCTGAATATTTTCTCTGCTGTAGAATAGACCAAAAAAACTATCATTAAATCTCTTCTAAGTTCAAGGACATATACATGGGTTACAGTGGTGGGTTCCGGATCCCATTCCAACTGGTGGAAAGGGCCCGGCGGCGTCTACATGTGCCTCCATGAGCCTCCGTGACGCTCCAGCTGCTCAAGGGAGCGTCACGCAGGCAAATGTACGTGCCATGCGCATGTGCGAAAGTGCCAAAGACTTAAAATACAAATACAATAGCAGAGTTGGAAGGGACCTTGGAGGTCTTCTAGTCCAACTGTCTGCCTAGGTAGGAAACCTTATACCATTTCAGACAAATGGCTATCCAACATCTTCTTAAAGACTTCCAGAGTGGGCCCTCCGGAGCAGTGTACTGGAACGGTATCCAGTGCTCTGGGCAGGCTCTGGTACGCCCGTACCGGGGCGTACCGCCTGCAACCCACCAGAGATGGGTTAGCTCATTTTACATGGGTTAGCTCATTTACACAAAATAATGCTGTGAGAGAATGTCTGCCCTACAAGATAAACTAGATTAAGAAACCAATGCCAACCACTTTTATTATAATAGCTACAGTAACTGAATCTTACAATGTGAATGTGTTGAATCCCCTTTCTTTATCTTTGTGTGAACTAGGGAGGGGCTTATCAAGTTGTTTTGTTAGGCGGGTGTCAAACCACTCTTATTTGACTGTTGATTTGCTTAGTAACTTTTCCAGGACACTCCTTCTGCTATCTATAAGTAGGCAGTAACAGATACAGTGACATCAAGAAACTATGGACTCATTGGGGATTTGAACATGGATTACTATGGTCATAATCATTTGCTCTAATCACTACACTATACCACACAGATATTACACCATTTAGCAATAAAATCTAAGCTGTTTCATGGCTATCTGCTATGAAAATGGCCATATCCATTACAACACTATGTCATAGTATGATCCAAGGAGCAGTTCATAATAATAGAAGTAAAATTATGCCAAGCATGTTAAATAGGAAGACTTTAAATTAATTATAATACATCTTGACAATTTTATAGTTCTCTTATATATTTACCACAGGGGATTATTTGGTGACAGTTTGTGTGACTTCAGCACATAATTAGAAATATTGTACCTATTTTTCTACTGCAAAAATAATTATGAAAATCTTTGGTAAAATTTTATGAATCTTTTCAGGATTTACCCAAACATCATTTAGTAAGAAAACCTATATTTTATGTTTGCACTACAGAACAATATGCAAGGCTGTTGATGAGATGCAAAGACAAAATACTGAAAAAATAGAGTTAAAAAAGAAAGCAACAGAATAATTAAAATCACCATAATCAAGCCAATCAAAACTGCAATAGAGTTTATATTAAAAGAAAAAAAGGTCCATAGAGATCTTAGATTGCAGGCAAGATAGAATGGGGGAAGATGCAGGTATTGATAGTGTAGAGATAGCTATATACGTCTCTAGTTAAAGAAATTGGTTCATACATACATATTGTCTTCTACACATATTTTAGGTCCAACTACGTTGGCTGCTCCACTTGCCATTTTGAAAGCAAAATGATTCGCTGGACATGCTTTTGTCGTTCCACATTTATACTTTGGGGGCTTTGTAGCTTTGGGGAAAGAAGGAATAGATTTTAATTTAAGGGATGCAATAAAAATTCAAAATTAAAAAAAGAAAAATACAAAAAAAGAAAGATGTAATTTCAGACATTGCAAGATAAAGGCAAAGTACATAAAGGTAAAATGTAAGCAAGTTGCATATGCTGTTTGAAACTCAGGAAAAGCATTCCATGCCATAACCATTTGATTCACAGGATATATTCTGCAACAAAATTGTCTACAATTTATTTACTATTATCTTAGAGTATGTACAGGGGCACAATAACCTTATACTTAAACTAGCAGTTATAAAGTTTTATAATGTCAATGCATGCATGCACCTCCATTACAGACCCTAGCTTGCAATGAACAGATCGAGATAACCTGGTATAAAACTGCAACTCAATATTATCTGTTGTATTTATTATACTTGTATAATACTTTTGTATATCAAAACCTCTATTAATTTATTATTTATCATCCAAAAGTGTTTAAACATACTGCTTTAAGATTAATCAGTTTAATTTATGCTGCCTGCCTCTTATTAAAATTTATTACGTATATGCTTTGATTGATTAAAGTCATGATGGACAGTGGATGTAATAGCTATTGGCCAATCTGGTGATAACTACTACATGTAACAAGCAAACTGTTAACTAAAAATGTTAAAGAGGAGTAAATAGTAAATTCATGAATTAACTTAGTCTTATATGGAAGTGAAAGTAGATTTAATTATGAAAGCGCTGAAATGAATGTCACAAACAATGAATCAGTGTTATGTTGGTTGTTGTGATTCATATGAAAGTAGGAATCCATAAGTTAGTGATAGATGCATGTTTGGTCTAGTGGTTAGGGCACCAGGCTAGAAAGCAAGAGACCATGAGTTCAAGTGCTGTCTTAGCCATGGAAGCCAGTTGTCACTCTCTCTCAGCCCAATTCACCTCACAAAGTTGTTGATGTAGGAAACAGAGGAGGAGTAGGAAGTAGGCTTAGATATGTTCGCTGCCTTGATTATTTGTAAAAATAACGAAAGATGGGATATAAAAAAAGAAAAAAATGAATACACCTTATGTTCTAATAGATGATAATAAATAATGAACTAGATATGAATTCTTGGATGAACTGTGAAATATTCTGAATCCAGGGAAGCAAATTATTCTGTTACAGTTGTAAGAAAAAGTATGTGAACCCCTTGGGATTACGTGGAGTTTTGCATGAATTGGTCATAAAATGTGCTCTGAACNGGAAAACAAATTACCATGCCATTACTTAAAATATTTTCCACTGCTAATCATTTTTTTCTGCCTAAGAAATACTAGCATCATAATTGTAAACAAGATAGATAGATAGATAGATAGATAGATAGATAGATAGATAGATAGATAGATAGATAGATAGATAGATAGAGACAGACAGACAGACAGACAGACATTTACACACACACACATTGTGTGATTGTGTGTATGTCTGTCCGTAGTCCCGTCAATTATAAGAACTTAAGACCAAAATCATTTCTAATTGCTCTTATATCTAGTTATTGATGCCCTAGAAAATGGTGAAGCGATAGTTAAAACTACATTTAAATTAAATTTGATATGAACCACAATTTAGCTTGAGTTTAAACACAACAAACATTTCTTAAACTAACAAGGCAATCAATCTAAATGGGAGATCATTATCTCAAACTTTAAAGCTTCACTGGAATGTGGATTTCAGATGAATAGAACCAGTAAAACCTCTTTTTCATCATTCATATGGTATAGGTTAGAAATACTCACTGTAACTCAACTGAACTTCTCACTTCCAAAGGTTTTTTTTTTAAGTTATAATTCTTACCTGCTATTCTCATGTTTATCTTCCCTCCGTTGCTGGCCCAATTGCATTTAACCAGCTACCTGGAGAATAAGGAAAACAGCTTTCAATTAGAAGAGTTTAAGCAAGGAGATGCTTTGATTTAATCATTCCACCGAAAAAGCCTGTATTCTCTAAAATGCAATGATAATCTCTGTTCCCAAAATACACAAGAGAAATAAAACACAGAGACACTTCAAGGGTTAACTAGACCTTTCAATTTTGATATGCATTTTCATCCCATAAACATACTTTCTGTTTTATTTTAGAACATTAAAAACAGAAACTACAGGTAATACTTGACTTACAACTGTTCATTTAGCAAATGTTTGAAGTTACAACAGCAATGGAAAAAGTGATTAACAATCAATCCTTGCACTTACAACCGTCACAGCATTCCTAATGTGATCAAAATTATATATATTTATGATGGCTGCAATGTCCTGGAGTTATGTGATCATCATTTGAGATCTTCCCAGCCAGCTACTGACAGACAAATCAATGAGGAAGCTGAATGCATTTAATAACCATGTGATTCGCTTAACAACTGTAGCAAAAAAGGCTATAAAATTTGGAGCAATTCACTTAATACCCACCTTGCTTAGCAACAGAAACTCTGGCCTTACTAATGGTTGTAAGTTGAGGAATATCTGCACAAGATACATAACCTTAAAGATATGACTGAAACCCGTTTAATGTGTCAACACAGCTATGATATTATTTCATTTCTACCTTAGTAGAATCATGAATATGTACTATGTATTTCCCTACATCCCTCAGTTGCAAACTGATGCATATGGTATAAATTAAGAAACAGCAAGTATACTATGTGCATTTGTATACAATCAGTTATAATTTCACTCTGAAAGAATGATAATTATACTGTCCAAGAAATCAAGAAAATGCAAAGTATTGCATAACTAGTTTGCAAACTAAAGCTCTTTAAGCAGCTTTCAGTTCTCAAAATTTTTCCAAAAACGGAAGAAATGTCACATGGTATACTTAATATAAAAAAAAAAGAAAATGGGGACAATATGCCACTGAATGTTCACAAGCTCATTGATTCATTATTTATACAGTGCAATAATTGTTCTATCAATTAGAAAGAGGAAAAACTAAATGGTTTCCAGCTAAAGATGGTTTGCAACATTTATTATTATTTCCCAAATCAAGACACAGAATGTTCAAAATAGAAGATGAAAATTAGAAGACGTTAATATTCATTACTTGGCACTCCCAACTAAAAGTAAATGATAAAAACTGATAAAAAGGAGAATGGACTGTTGAGAATAAAGAAAAATTAGTGGTGAGAATTATTTTCTTGATACTCAAAGAATGATATGCATTGGGTTAAAAGCCAGAATCCAAGCATTAGAATCCATTCATATACATTTGAAATAGAGCAAACATCAACATCAAAAAAACTCTGAACGAAGTTGGAATAATTCTTGTCACAAATATATATTATAACCTGGAATCAGCTTTACGTAAACCATTTCTTTGCCAATGAGTAAGTGAAGTTTTAACAGTTTTCCTCCTTCCTAATAATTTAGTATTTTTTATTTTAGTTGTCTACATTACTCGGTAATATAACTTCTATAGATTTAATTTCATTTTTTCTTTCCTCTACTTATTATTGTCACAAATATATTTGGAGAGAGGTGCCTGGAATATGTAATATTGGCTAAATTAAAAATAAGTAAATTATTAGGAATTTTATTCACTAAATTCCACAGCCAGTACAACTCTAAATTATCTTATTTATCTAATCTTTTCAAGATATTCATCATATAATCTAATTCAAATATGGAGATTGCCAACATTTAATCTTCAGTTGCATGAAAACCCTTATTAAAAACCTCAATTTTTGAAGTATTTCAAGTATATGAATTAATCTAAGAATACGTAATCAGTAAGTCTGGTAAAATCCACACAGCTGCGATATTGGCAATCATTTCTTTGTTAGGCTTATATCATCTCTTAAGCAAATATTTATTGTACGTATTTATTATATAATGCAATAATGCGTGAAGCATAATATATCCAATACTTTCCTTTGCATGCTCACACTGAACATCTTGCTTCAAAAAGCACAGCAGAGGCCTTTAGTATGTTGACCTAACTCCTAAAGCAGTTCTGAAGTGTAAACCACATCTGTAGGTTCACAGGCTCCTCATCCCTGATTGAACCATCTTCCTTTTAGCTGAAGGTACCACCAAGACAGCCAAGATGGATGCACACAACACAGCACAATCCCATTCATAATAAACCAGACTTCGGAATTCTACTAGAACATCCTACATGAATGTAGTTACTCCAACTCTGCATTTTTTCCCTCCACTGATACTTCCCCAGTGTCTTGGGTTGTTAAAAAATAATTAAAAGAAAAGAAAGAAATATCTTCTTTAAACTGATCATCATTGTGATTTGCAACAATAGACTGGACGGGCAGAATCACTATCAACAATTAAGAACCATTTTATGTGTTCCCTGGCCAGGAAAAAAAACCCAGAAAATAACAAAGTTGGAAGGGACCTTGGGGGGGGGAGGGTCTTCTAGTCCAACCCCCTGCTCAAACAGGAAACCCTATATCATTTTAGACAATCACTGTCCAATCTCTTCTTTAAAATGTCCAGTGTTGGATCACTCACAATTTATGGAGGTGTTCCACTAATTAATTGTTCTGTCAGGAAATTTCTCCTTAATTCTAGGTTGGTTCCTTAATTAGTTCCTATCCATTGCTTCTTGTTCTGCCTTAGGTGCTTTGGAAAATAAATTGACCCTCTCTTCTTTGTGGCAGCCCCTTAGTTACTGGAGCATGGCTATCAAAAAAAGAGTGAAGAGAAATGCTGAAAGAGGAGATGTGGCTACATTAAGAAAGTGGACAGTATAGATCAGTGATGGTTAACCTTTTCGGCACCAAGTGCCGAAACTGGAGCGTAAGCGCACACAGGAACGCTGGAACCCAGAAGAGCAGCTGGCCGCCGTACGCATGCACACTGGACAACTGGTCTCTTCTGGGTTCCCACGCTCCCATTCGCGCTTGCATTTGTTTCGGCACTTGGTGCCAAAAAGTTTAACCATCACCGATAGTGACAGAACCCAGAAGAGCAGCTGGCGACGGCATACATGCCCACAGAGAGGACTCTGTGCACGCATGCCATAGGTTTGCCACCATGGATGTAGATCACATAAGTCAGTGA